TCTTAAGGAAAAAAAAAAAGTATGTTGGAAAATGGTGCAATAAATTCCAACACACACTATATGTTAACTAGAAAAATCAAAGTGCTGTCCAAGAATAGTTCATCCATGGATGACCAAACCTGGTATTTTCATGTCAGTGCCTAAATACAGGCCAAAATTTCAATCCTAAATTCAATTTTTACTTCCTTGAATGGACACTTTTATTAAAATGCCATCTATCCCTTTTATTTATTTTTTTTCCTGGTGATGAGGGTGAAACAGAGGCATTTCTGGCGCACGCCTTTAATCCCAGCACTCGGGAGGCAGAGGCAGGCGGATCTCTGTGAGTTCGAGACCAGCCTGGTCTACAAGAGCTAGCTCCAGGACAGGCTCCAAAAACCACAGAGAAACCCTGTCTCGAAAAACAAACAAACAAACAAACAAAAAAAAAAAAGAAAGAAAGAAACAGAGGCATTTCACAAGGTAGGACCTTAGTAGTCAGGCCTAGCCTAATACTATTTACATGTTAACTCTCCTAACCATTTGATGAAAGCAGTTCAATGGTATTAATACAGCCATGTATTATTATGCACCTTTCTGCAGAATTTGTAAATTTTGTAAACCTGACACTGAATATCCTGTCACAACCAGTATTCTACTGATTATGAACTGAGGTCATGTATCATGCCAAAAAATTTTGGAATGCAAAGTGTTACACTGTTTTATGCATTTAGAGTCAGCACTGGCCTATGTTGCTTTAGGTTATTTAAGCGCTAGCTTTCTCTCTCTCTCTTTCTCTCTGTCTCTCTCTCTCTGTCTCTCTCTCCCCCCTTTTCTTTTTGGCACAGGGTCTCTCTACAGCAGCCTAGGCTGGCCTCAAACTCACAAATATCTTCTTCAGGACTGGGATTAGTGGTCTGTGCATCTATGCCTGCCTAAAAAAACAAAGACAAAAACAAACTAATTATTTTGCATTTTTAAAGGAAAATCAGAATTGCACAAAATTCCTACTCAGCATAAAGTCCACGAAGGCATTTCAGCAGCAAATCAAAAGAAAACAGCGCGCGTATCATATAGCCCTAAGTGAAAATATCAAGCCAGAAGTAGATGAGGTAAATGGAGGTGTTTTACCCCTCATTACCGGAAAATGTGAAGCAGAAAGAATCAGGAAAATGCTGACAAAAGCAAAGTAGAAAAGTTTTCTCAAAATAAAGGGTACGAGCGATTTATATTCAAACTTTAGAAGCAGAATCTACCCAAAACCATTAGTATAAAAGCCCATAAAGATAAACTGAAATACTGTTTCTGGCAATGATCTAAAGATTATCACTCTGGAACTATAAAACCTTTAGCTAATATTATAAAATATTTGTGGGTGAAACAGGACAGAAAAGAAAAAATTAAGGGGCATAAGAAGGGAAAGAAGGCCGGGGGTGGGGGTGGGGGTACATGGCTTTAATACTGGCATTCCTGAGGCAGATGCAGGCAGGGTTCCAGGACAGCCAGGGTTGTTACACAGACAAACCCTGTGTTGGGGAGCGGGGCAAAGGGATGAGAAAGGGACTGACTAATAGTCAAAGACTTCAACACAGCCAATAAAGCCAAACTGCATCTCAAAAATGATCTGACAAAGAATGAAGGAGCTATGTTTGCCGAGGACCAAGAACGTTTGCAACTTTCAGTCTTATCTCAAAAAACCCTTTTATAATTTTACTTACAAAAGAAAATCCTCAAAGGTATGAAACAAGTATACCAGCTCAACTACTTTTACTAAACTTTTAAACTTGAAAACTTAAGCTTTGATTAATCTTTAACTTGTATTGAAATCCTTTGTGACATGTAATTTAAAAGCCGCAGGACTATATACAAAGAAACTGTAAATACACCTAACTTCAACTCAAGAAGCCTTGAAATTATGCATATCATCCTTGTCCTCTCCACTTACTTAATAAGCGTACTAAGCTTCACCATGCTCACACTGAAAAAAAAAATCAATCATCTAAGTTATCTGCATAACATTCTCTAAGTGGAAAGAGACCTCCTCAGGCTGCAGGGGTATGTCTCCCTCCTGTCAGACATCGGGCCATTTTTAACTGCCACATTGAGGAATCAACTATTAACGTTCGGGGGGGAATGCAACTTAAAAAGAGGGCTTAAGGACGTGTCTCAGAACACTTACCTAGCCTTGTTAAGCTCTAATGGGCTTGGATGCAAATAGTTCAGTCAGTAGTAAATTGTTTGCCTAGTATGCTTGGTGCATGGTCCTGGGTTCAATTCTTAGCATCACAAGAAAACAAAACACCCTTGGTTCAAAAGGTGAAAAAATCTTCCAGAAAACGAGAAGCTGAGTATAATCCCTAAGATGAACAAGGTGGAGAAAATTGCCTCTGCCTGTTGTCCTCTGATCCCACACCCTGCTATGGCTGTTCCACATATGAAGACAAAAACAAATAGCTATGCTCCCATGTGCATGTTCTTCGCCCTCACTGTTTCCCCTCCCTCCCTTCTAGTACATAAATATAGGGTTAACAACTTGAGGCTGAAGAGATGACTCAGTGGGCAAAGCACTTTCTGGTAAAATTTTAGAACCCAGGTTGGGATCCCTAGCACAAGCTGAATGCTCCATAGTGTTAGTGTTGGCAGGACAGCTCATTTCCAATCCCAGTGCTTGGGAGGCGCAAACAGGGATTGCCGGGAGCAAGCTGTCTGCCTAGACAAAATTGGAGGCGTTTTGGTTCACAGAGAGATTTTGATTGTAAGGTAGTGAGTATGAGGAAGACAATTAATAGGCATACCTGCACACATGGAAACACAAACACATGCACGACACACGCACACATATATATAGCACAAAAAATGCAAAATGCTTGAGTAGCTGGGTAACATGAGAAAGGAAAAGTGTAGCATAGAATATGGCTTGCCCTCAGTGGAAACAGTCCACATAAGCCCTGTTTTCTTGCCTCACACCCACCCCAGCTCCCATCACCACATCATACTGGCTCAAACTCAGGGCTTAACGTAGTGGGTAAGTCCAACTTGCTGATTTTGCCAGGCATGATGGCAAAAGTTTATAATCCCAGCACCTGGGAGACACAGGAAGGAGGATCGGGAGTTTAGAGCCATCTTGATGACAGAGCAAACTCAAGACCATTGTGTGCTACATGAGAATGCCTCTCAATTTAGGTTTCAGACAAAAGTCTTAATGTGTATATTAAAATGATGCATATGGGGGTAGATGGGCATGCGTACAGTGAGTGCAGCAAGCTATGGTTGCTGGTCATTGAACCGGCTCCGCAGGCAGTTGTGAGCTGCCTGACTGGGTGCTATGAAATTACTCAAGCTACCACATGCCTGTGTTGTGCTTTTAAGCATAAAACCTCTGTAGCCCTAGAATGTCGCTTGACTTTGACTAAATATTGTATTGCTAAGGAGACATGTATACAGGGAATGGTAGTTTGTTCAAGGCATGTAACTCAGTATCCAGTAAAGTCATTTAACTCACAGAAAACAATTACATTAAACCAAAGATACAAACATAGTTAGGACAAACAAAAAATTTACAACAATATTGATTTTTGGTTACTTGATAGGACTCCTGTTTTGCTGTTTTTATGTCCATATAATGGTCTATTAATTCCTAGATATCTCAGCCTAATTTATACAAATGTACCCAAAATTGTAGTCCAGCTCTACTTTTACCAAGAAACGTGCCCCAAACTGGACTGAAACAAGAATTGCTCTACACACCCTTATTTTGTAACATAATACAGTGACATGACAATAGCACAATTCAGAAGAAGCAGGCGCCGCTGTAAGATTATTAAAGCATTTATAAACATACTCTGCTGCCCTGAAGAACTAAAATCAAAACACTTTTTTTCAAGCTACTCAAGTTTCCTTTGTAGAGAGGCCTGAAATTCTGGCAATGTTGGATCGACCTTTCCAGAAAATTAGCAGTAAGCAAGTATTAGTATATCCTTTCCCTTTAGATGCATTCTGCACATTGGGTTGGTCATGTTCTGAAAGACTCCCCCACCCTCTCAGAAACACTTGTCCCTTGGCATCCAGTACTCTCTATGATAAGTTAAAGGACAGCAAAGGAAAAACACCATGAAAACCAGCTTTTCAAGAAAAAAGAGAGTGATACCAGGAACCATGTCACACATGTTCCCCATCTGGATTCTGCAGGCATTTGCAACTGAAACCCCTGAAACAGAGGATGGGAGAAGTCAGTTCTCAACTGTACATCAGAAACCATTGGAAACAAGCAGAGGCATCATCATATAAAGCAAGCGGAACTGGGTATTTATAGAAATCAATAAACGGAGGCGAAGGAGAAAGATGCATTGCAAGCCAACATGCAACACAAAGATGAGGCCATTAGAGCCTACACTAGTGTGAAAGCATAAGGAAGCAAAACAAGAGAAAGAAGAAGCAAAAGGAAAGCTATCCAAATACATGAACAAGAGCAAAACAGAAGTGGATGGGAAAGCCGTTGCCTAATAGGAGGCATAAAACACGAACACTAAGCAGAGTGACTGGGCAGCTCAGCCAGCTACATGAAAGGCACAGGTCAGCATGAACACGTGCGTCCTTCTGATGTTCATTGCAGTGGAACTTTAGACTCATTTTCTGATAGTCTTTCATTTAAAAAAAATTATATTTTGCCATAGAAGGAAGGAGGAAGAGAAAGGAAAATTGAGTAAGCAAACTGTGAGCCTGTATTACCAAGGGCCCACGAGAAGACAACTCAAGACAGTTTATACCCAACTGAAAGTCTTTATTCCAGCTGGCTGGAACTAAATCCAATTATTTGGACACCTAGTAACAACAGCCTGAGTGTCCAGAGCACAGGTTTTTGAAATTAAAATCTAAATCCTGGCATTTCAGTTGTCAGCTACAGGGCAGCTTCACAGAAGCAGAGAGTTTAAAAGTGACTATTAAGTGGTTACCTGGAAGGCGGCCTGCACAGCAGAAGGCAGTTTAAAAGTCACTAAGATAAGCACTTACCTGGAGGGAAGCCTGCACAGGCAAGGAGTTTTACGTCACTAAGATAAGCAGTTACCTGGAGGGGTTCCTGCACAGGCAGGGAGCTCATCAATGCACTAAGATAAGCTCTTACCAGAAGGGGGTCCTGCACAAAAAAAAAGGCAGATGACTAAAATAAGCAGTTACCTGGAGGGGGTCTTGCCAAGGCAGGGAGTTTAATAGTCATTAAAATAAGCAGTTATCTAGAGGGGGTTCCTGCAGAGGCCAGCAGTTAACAGTCATTAAGATAAGCAGTGACCTGGAGGGGGGTCCTGCACAAAGAGGCAGTTTAAGTCACACCAAGATAAGCAGTGACCTGGAGGGGGTCCTGCACAAAGAGGCAGCTGGAGTTACAGAAAGAGAAGTTAGCTAGGACATACTGACCTTAGGTTTCTAGAACAAAGTTGGGTAGTTTTCCAGGAGACTCTCCATCAAGGAAATCAGATTCTGCTTAAACCTGAATGGCCTCAGCAGGAATACAAGATGGAGGAACTTTTGTTCTGTTTTTCTCTGTCACACACGGTGGTGTATGCCTATAATGCCAGCATCTCAGCACTCAGAAGACTAAGGCCAGCAATGGATATACAGGATTAAGGCTAGTGTGGTCAAAACCATATATAAAACAAAGCAAAATAAAACAATAAGATTTTATGCCCACTAGAAAATGGGTCTGGAGTTGGAGAGATGGCTCAGTGGTTAAGAGCACTGAGTGTTCTTACCGAGGACCCGGGTTCAATTCCCAGCATCCACATGGCAGCTCACAACTGTCTGAAAATCCAGTTCCAGAGGATCTGACACCTTCACACCAATGCACATAAAATAAAGTTAAATAAACGATAAAAAAAATTTATAAAGAAAATGAGTCTGAGAGAGACTTGGAAATTACTGAATTAAGTTCATCTAATCAATCAGATTTAAATAAATTCAGAATTCAATAAACAGCATCAGTCCTACACACACTCAAATTATTTCTTAAGGAAACTTGAAAAAAAATCAAATAAGCAAGGCTAAGAAAGCATTCTTGATACTATGTATACTTCAAAACCACAACTGCTAAGCCATCCCCAAGCCCTACCCCCAAAAAGGATCAGATTCAAGGGCTTTAGGACATCTCCTGATAAACTGGCCAAAATCCCAAGACTTGTCATAACACAAAAGTTTTCCTCAAAAGGATAAGGTGACAAAATTCTATATAATTTGAAATTTTGAAAAACAAGATCTTGGAGTACCGTTTAGTTGTAGAACACTTGTCTAGCATATATGAGATCCTAGCTTCAATCCCTAGCACTACTGAATAAATACACGTAAGTTAGGTATCTCCTCTTCAGGAAGCAGAGACATGAGAATCAGGATGACAGTCTAGACTCAGCTATCATGGCAACTTTAATGTCAGCTTGTGTCTCAAAAATATAATAGATAAAACAAAGAAACTAAGTCAGATAAAGGAGTAAACAAATTTATGGAAGAAAATACTATCATCGATGGAAGAATCAGGAAAGATTTAAGATACAGTTATGAACCAATTTGCAAAAGAATGACTCAAAAGCTATAAATAAACAGAAGCTATTCATCTACAGTGGGGCAAATAGGATGAGGAAGTTAGTTAGCAGAAGGGAAAAAGCAAGAAAATGCTAGGAGAACGGGGTTGTAGAGCTACCTGTGAGATTGACAGAGTTTACCAGAGAGGCTGTCAAGCTCCAAAGACAGTCAGATATGATATCACTTCGGTGCTAGCTTGCCTTTCAAGTTTCAAAGCAATTAAATAATACGGGTTATACTTTCATTAGCTGGATTGATTTAGGGTGATGAAATTTTGATTTACACATAGGGTGAAAAGACATCCACATATAACTAACAATAGTAGAAAATGGCCTAGACCTGATAAATACTCCATACATACAAAGAAAGATGCAGGTAGAAAGGCCATGCCCAGAGATACAAAAACCTCAAGTTAAGACTGATGGAAGTCTTAAGGAGAGAGGATATTAAGTAGACAGTCTAAGGATTCCTGTCCTCAACAAAAGCAAGGTAACATGAACAAAGAACCAGAGATAAGCTGCAACAGTCATGATACTCCACTAGAGACAAGTTTTAGAAACTTAAATGTTCATACAATGAAATATGGATTGAGAGGAATACACTTCCAGATGGTGATAGCTACTTTTAATTTTTAAAACACACCTGGGAAGCTGGAACCTGAATTGAGGAACTGTCTTCATTAGATTGGCCTAGGGCCATATCTGGGGGAATTTTCTTGATTGCTGTGGGTTGCAGGGCCCAGCCCATTAGTCATACTACTGCTAGGCAGGTGAGCCTGGGCTGTATGCGAGAGATAGCTGAGCAATGCAGAGAAACAAGGCAGCAAGCATTCTTCCGTGGTTTCCTCAGTTCCTACCTTAAGGTCCCTGCCTTGGCCTAGCACAATGACATGCTGTCCTTCTCCAAATTTTTGTCATTCAGTGTTTAACCACTGTAAGAGTAAGCAAATTACGGCAAAAGGAATGCAGCTGCTTGGCATTTTAATAAAATAAATCAACTTTACAGCATAACACACAATACTAATGACAGAAGTACGTGTTTAGCTAATCTCTGAGTTCTTTGAAATGAAAAAAGAAGTGTGGTATGCAAATGTCATCAGCAGCAACAAACTGGATGCTTAAAAATCACAGTTGAGCACGGTGACACCTCTAACTCTGGTTGATTATTGACAATCGCTGCAGGTTAGGAGTCAATCAGAATTACACAGGGAGATTTACAGGACTGGGCTAAAGAGCCAGACTCCCAGAAAAGAAAACAACTAAAACAAAACAAAAAAGCTTCCAAGATTTTACAAAGGAGGGACTAGAAAGATGTCTCAGCACGAAGAGCATATTCTGGTCTTACAAATGTTCCAGGTTCTGTACCTTCAGTTCTAGGGATCTGTAACCCCTTTTCTGACTTCTGTGGGCACTACACACGTGACAAACTTACATACATGCATGTAAGACAGAAACAGAAAACAAAAGAATCTTGAAAGGATATACCGGAGGATTAGAGTCATAAACATTAGAAGTAAAACGTCATAAAGCAGGTATGGGCAAACTGCAGCCTCCACACAAACACAGCTCACTCACATTTTATGAAATGGTTTTGTTGGAATACTAATGCACTTGTTTTTATATACTGCCTATATTTGTTTTCATTCAACAACAGCAAAACACATACAGCCCATAAAAATGAAACTGCAAACCCTGTCTCGAAAAACCAAAAAAAAGAAATAGTTACAGGACAGGCTCCAAAACCACAGAGAAACCCTGTCTCGAAAAACCAAAAAAAAAAAAAAAAAGAAAAGAAAAGAAAATATTCCAAATTGGCATGAGAGTATAAACCAGTGGTGGCAAAGCTGAGTGGACACTCACAGAGGAGCTGAGAGAATAGTATATTATGTTAGAAGCAGAATACTGGAAAAGGATTTTGAAAATTAGTACTACTGAAATCCTTACAGCTATCCACAGTGTACCTCCCAGCCCTGAATGTGCAAGATAGTGCGAATACTAATTCTAGGTGGGTTGAGAGCTAGCTGAGCACTGTCAACTCGCCCGGCACCCACCTGGAGGCTCACAGCCATCTTCAGCTCCAGTTCCAAGGAATCCAACATCTTCTGTCCTCCACAAGGACCAAGGCACACATGAGATGTGCACACACATATATGTATAAAATAACTTTTTTAAAAAAGAAAATCCACTGAACAGTGGTGGCATATATCTTTAACCCAGCACGTGGGATACAGAGACAGGAAGATTGTGAGTATAAATCAGACTGCTCTATGGGTTAGTTTCTTTTTTTTTTTAATATTTATTTATTTATTATGTATACAATATTCTGTCTCTGTGTATGTCTGCAGGCCAGAAGAGGGCACCAGACCTCATTACAGATGGTTGTGAGCCACCATGTGATTGCCGGGAATTGAACTCAGGACCTTTAGAAGAGCAGGCAATGCTCTTAACCACTGAGCCATCTTTCCAGCCCTATGGGTTAGTTTCTTGACAGCCAAAAGCACAGAGAAATCTGTCTTGGAAAACCAAAACAACAAAAAAACAAAGACAAACAATCCCCCTCAAAACAAATAATAGTAAAATAAATAAGAAGATTATATGATGTATGCCAGAAATAAGGCACAATTCATGGCACCAATGCATAATTCCAGGTATGGAGAATGGCGTTGAGGCTAAATTAGAAGGATGATAAGTTAAAAAAAAATGTCTGGGCTATAGTAGAGTAAGTTTAATAATGGCCTCAGCAATGTTAAAAGAGATGTTAAATATAATACAGCTCAACGGCAGACTACTGCTTCACAAGCAAGTACAAGCTTAGTACTTCACCTTTCAGTGCCAGAGAAGATCTGGACAAATGAAGCCCTGTGATAGATCACCAGAACTGTTGAAAAAAAAAAATAGTGCCCTGGGCCTCTAATCATAGAATGCAGAAGTAGGAACGCAAAAATCATGCTCATCCTAAATTACACATTGACTTTAAGGCCAGCATGAGCTTTGTAAGATCCTGTTTATTGGGGTAGAAGGGTTCAAAATATTACACAAAATCCTTAAATATCATTCTAAAAGAACCTATTTCAATCCAGGAGGGGTGGCATACACATTTAATCCCAGCAGTCAGGAGATAAAGGCAGGCGGATCTCTGTGAGTTTGATGCCTGCCTGGTCAACAGAATGAATTCCAGGATAGGATCCAAAGCTACAGAGAAACACTGTCTTGAAAAAACAAAACAAACATATTTCACAACATAAAAATGGTAAAAAAATAGGGGCTGAAGAGATGGCTCCACAGATAAGAGCACTGGCTTTTTCCCCTAAAATATCTGGGTTCAAGTCCTAGCAACCACACGGCAGTTCACAACTGTTTGTAACTCCAACTCCAAGGGATCTGACTATCACATACAGACAAACATGAAGGTAAAACCCCAATATACATTAGAAAATAAATCTTTAAAAAATTGTAAAAATGAATGGATTATAAACGATAGGAAATTATCCTTATGCTCATTTTATGAAAAGTAAGTGGAAACTAGGTGTATTATTCGTGTCACATGCCTGTAATTCTAGTACCTGGAAGGCTAAGGCAAGAGGATGTGAATTTGAGGTTGGGCTGGACTCAAAATAAAGGAAAAAGCAAGGGGCTGGAGAGATGGCTCAGAGGATAAGAGCATTGCCTGCTCTTCCTAAGGTCCTGAGTTCAATTCCCAGCAACCACATGGTGGCTCACAACCATCTGTAATGAGGTCTGGTGCCCTCTTCTGGCCTGCAGGCATACACACAGACAGAATAGTGTATACATAATAAATAAATAAATTAATTAATTTAAAAAAAAAAGAAAAAGCAAACAAAAATACTGAATACACATATAATAGGTCAAAGAAAAGGAAACTTGAAGTTGGGCAGTGGTGTCACATGCCTTTAATCCCAGCACTTGGGAGGCAACGGCAGGCATATCTCTGTGAGTTCAGCCTGGTCTACAGAGCGAGTTCCAGGACAGGCCCCAAAGCTAAAGAGAAACTGTCTCGAAAGAAAGAAAGAAAAAGAAAGAAAGAAAGAAAGAAAGAAAGAAAGAAAATGATATTCGAACTTCCTACATATGTATTTTTAGGTTAGGCCAGACAAAATATTTGAAATATGATATAATAAATTTCAATATGTGATCAAGCCTGGTTGCTCAAGCCTTAATTCCAGCCTTTAGGAAACTAAGTTAAGAGAATTGCCTTGAGTTTGTGGCCAGACTGAATACAAGACTCCCTAGGCTATATAGAATACCAACTAAATCAAACCATTGTCTCTGAAGCTAATATGTTCCATCCCATGTCTTGAACCACAATAAAAATCAAATTCACAACAAACAGACATCAAAGTTGCAACTAAGTATAAGAAACTCACACCTAGTCAGATAGGTAGGTGGTGGCTCACGCCTTCACCCTAGCACTCAGGAGGAAAAGATTGGGCTTTGAAGCCAAACTGCTCTATAATGCAAGTTCCAGGACAGCATGAAGTACAGAGAAACCCTGTCTTGTGAAATCAAAGCAACCAGCGCACCAACAAAAAAACTCCAATTGTCTAACGTATTTGAGATTGCCGGCTCTATTCCCAGCACTGCAAATGTGAAGGAGGGTGAGGGAGATGGCTCAGTGGAAAAAGACGGATTTGGCGGGACCCATCTGTAAGCCAGCAGTCCTACAGTGAGATGGAAAGTACAATGAAATTCCCCGGAGCAGAGGCAAATTAGCAAGGAGTGCACAGCAGTACGGTGACAAGCACACGGCAGAAACAAGAGAAACTGGCTCAGTGAGACAGAAGAAAGGCTTGAAAGCTGTCCTTTCTCCACACACTGCATACAAGTGAGCACCTGGACTCACTAACCCACTCACAAATACAAACAGTAAAGAGTTAAAAAAAAATAAAACGGAAGCTGGGCATGATGTCACATGACTTAATTTCCAACACTTGGGAGGCAGAAGGAAGACTGATCTATAGAGCTATTTCTAGGACAGCCAAGAAGAAACTGTCTCAAAAAACTGCAACAACAAAAGCAGGAAATAAAACTCAAAAAGCCAAGAAATAGCCTGTTTTATATAATTAGGAATCAAAAATGCACAAAATAAAATATTAAAGGAGAATGTTTTGCTTTCAAATATTAAAATTGTTTTTCTTTCCTTTTCTGTGATATTTGAGAATAGAATTACATAACAGGTAGTACATGCTGACAGCCATCTTGCAGTGATGTTCCAGCCTCAGCCTTCCAACTGCTGAAATTACAGGCATGAGCCACTATATTCATCTTGCAATTGGTGAATTGTTAAAAAATAAAAATACTTACTGGGGCTGGAGAGATGGCTCAGCGGTTAAGAGCACTGCCTGCTCTTCCAAAGGTCCTGAGTTCAATTCCCAGCAGCCACAGATGGCTCACAACCATCTGTAATGAGGTCTGGTGCCCTCTTCTGGCCTTCAGGCATACACACAGAAAGAATATTGTATACTAAATAAATAAATAAATATTTAAAAAAAATACTTACTATAGTTTACTAGTATAAATGTGTGACGTGTGAAAATGGCTAGTCTTATAGTCACTACAAGAACTGTCCACTTCATCCAATCTTAGGAAATCAGCATGATAGTTAACTGACCTACAACTACAAGCATGCTAACTTTAACTTTCTCTATGTAGATATAATTAAAAGAGCAGTTTGGGCTGGAGGGTAGCTCCCTGGAAGTGGGCTTGCCTAGCCTGTAACACTCCTGGGTTCTAGCCTCCAGCACAGCAGAAAAAGGTAGAAGGGAGAACAGTAACTGGGATGAATCTAAATAGCAACTGTAAATCAATGGCCTCTATTCAAACCTTGGGATACTGCGTGCCAGTTTGAAAATGGTGCCACTAAAGCATATTTAATTGCATGGCATATGTTTGAGATCTCCTTAGTTGGAAAAAGCAGGCAAAAAACCTATCATTAGTGAGTCCATCAACAAATGACTCAAAATTTGAACTCAGAAAGAAAACACTAATGAATTAAACAAAGAATAAAATTATAAATAGCAAATTTAACAAACTGAATTCAAAGTCCTTGGGAGTATAGAGTTTTTTTTTCACAAATGTAAGGCTAGCTCAGTCTTAAAAAAGCTATTGAATGCAACAAATAACAGAAAATGGCCAAAGAGAAAAGAGTTGTTTTCTTTTGTTGTTGTTGCTGTTGAGATAAGTCTTATTATACAGCCCTGACTGAGCCCTAGCTCAGTCTCCAAAGTGCTGGCCTTCCAGAAATAAGCCTTCAACAATTGCTTACCTAATAGAGTTAGATACCTGTTCCTTTCTTTGTTCATCTGTCCTTTGGAGATATTCATGGCAGCATTAGTTACTCAGAATCCTGAAAGTCAAATAGAAGAACTGACATGGTAAATCATGAAAACCATAGTTTTTAACTTGGCTATTAGGACTGTGTTATAACCAAAGGAAAAAAATATACATAGAATATAAAATGTCGTACATGGGCTCATGTGTTTGAACACTTTGGCCCCAGTCACGGGTGCCTTGGTATTCATTGAATCTTTGATAAGGGCAGCATAGTTGGCAGAAGTGGGTTAATGCAAAAAGAGCTTTGAGGAAAATAGCCACCCAGCCTTACTAGTGCCCCATTCTCCCTCAGAATGCTAGAATAGCCAAAATTTGCCACAGCGATGGTGGGAGCATCACCCATCCACACTATGATGGACTGTATTTTCTGAAACTGTAAGTCAAACAACAAAGCCATGGGCTGGCAAGATGCCTCAGTGCTTTCAAGTCTGACCATCTGAGTCCCATCCTTGGGACTCATTCGGGGAAAGGAAAGAACCAACTTCTTATTTATTCTAAAATAAGGCAATATGTATCTAAGTTTTACCTTGAGATTATAAAGAATTCCTTTGTTCAGACCTAATGCTTAGTGCCCCTACCATAAAAAGGTGGGTTCAGAAACCGGACTTTTGCCGCAGCCTAATAAAAGAAAAAAATCTCTGGCTGTGGTCTCAGCTAGCTGATAAGCTTTTTGTGCACCATGAAGATTTTTTATTTTTATTTTTTTCCTGGATTTTGGTTTCTGGAATAAAGTTTGCTTCTGGTTTATTAAACTTTGGTGGTTTGTCAACATCTTTGTGTGACCTTCCCCTGCCGGACCCAACAAAGGGGAGAAAAGAAAGGAGGAAATGATAAAATATTATATATAAAGGAAAAGAAAGCAGAAAATAAGGGTGTGATGTTTCACACCTATCCCTTACTCATAGTATTGAGGAGACACAGGAAATATTTGCAATTTACAAACATCCTTGATCACATAACAAGATTCTGCCACAAAAAACAAAAGAAAACAAAACAAAATCAACCAAACAAACAAACACCAAACAAAGAAAAAACAAAAGCAACATGAAAGCTTGGAGACGGCTCAGTCGTTAAGGGCTCTGAGCACTCTTCCAAATGATCAGGGTTTAATTCACAGCATCCCCAGCCATTTGCAACTGCAATTCCCAAGAATCAGATATACTCCTCTACCCTTCGTGACCACCAAACACGCACATGGTACACACGTGTGCAAAACTCATTCACATTGAAAAAAATCTTAAAAAATAACAAAAAAGCTGTTTACTATGGACCATGCCTATAATTCTCACACTGGGGAGGTAAAGGCCTGCCTGAGGATGATGTATCAAGGCCAGCCTAAGACACACAGTGAGACAGTCTTGAAATTTTTTTAAATTAAATTAAAAAAAAAATAGAACCAGACATAATGACCTATGTCTTTAATCCCAGCACTTGGGAGGCAGAGGCAGGCAGATCTCTGAGTTTGAGGCCAGCCTGGTCTACAGAGTTCATTCCAGGACCTCCAGGGCTGTTACACAGAGAAACCCTGTCTTGAGAACCTAAAATAAATAAATAAAATGATAAAAAATAAAAAAGAGGTTTTCAACGTCAATTTGGCTCCATTACATAGCTAGACTATGTCTCAAGAAAACCAAAGAGGGGAGGATCTCAAAGAACGCAAAGACTTGTTTTACTATATTAATGTAGAGGCAGAGTCTACAGTTCTAGTTGTACTAGACTATCCCTGACTGCAAGGCCCTGCCTTACTGTACTCTTTCAATTGGAAAAGCTAATTAACTGATGAGTGTTATTCCTGGTGTTATAGGGGAGCACAATCAAGAAAGCTGTTTGACATTAGCATGGTGGCCCAAACTGATGATACCAGTACTTAGAAATCGGAGACACAAGGATTACAATCAGTTTAAATCCACACTTAGTTTCCAGAATATAACTGCCTTAAGACAGGTGGTAGTTGAGATCATCTTTAATACAATCATTTGGGAGACAGAGGCAGATGGATCTCTGTGAGTTCAAGGACAGCTTGGTTACAGAGCACTTTATCTGAAAGTCAAGGCTATATGCTTTTCTACACACACACACACACACACACACACACACACACACACAAATAAAAAACAGCATCAAAAATTCAAAATAGGGAAGCAGCATAGGTCCTAACTAGTCCCTTGAATGCGACAGTTGTATGGCTGTGGCATACTGAGGGGGCCACTGGCAGTGGCACCAGGATTTTTCCCTACTGCTTGTAGGTAGTTTTTGGAAACCTATTCTCCTTGGATGGATACCTTGTTCAGCCTAGATATAGCCTTGGACCTTCCACAAAGCAATGCGCACCCTCTGAGGAGTGGATGGGGGTGGGGTAGAGTGGGTATAAGGAGGAAATGGGAGGGAAGAGGGAGTAGGAACTGGGATTGGTATGTAAAATGAAAATATAGTTTCCTTTTAAAAAAATGAAATTAATAAGAATTAGTCACATATTATAATAAAAAAAAATTCAAAGTGGGGCTAGGGAGATGGGGGTAAAAGCACTTGCACGCAAAGCCTGAGGACCCACGTCTGAATCCCCAGGACCAAAGTTAAAGCTGGGTCTGTACCGTGAGCATCTGTAATCCCAGTGCTCCTATGAGAATGGAAGCTGAAGGTGTTCCTGGTGTATGGAGGTAAATAACAAAGAGATCCTGTTTCAAACCAGGTAGAAGGCAAAGATGCCACTCTAGATTTACCTCTGAACTGCATTTGTTTTTTTTTTTAATATTTATGCATTTATTATGTATACAATATTCTGTCTGTGTGTATGTCTGCAGGCCAGAAGAGGGCACCAGACGTCATTACAGATGGTTGTGAGCCACCATGTAGTTGCTGGGAATTGAACTCAGGATCTTTGGAAGAGCAGGCAATGCTCTTAACCTCTGAGCCATCTCTCCAGCCCTCTGAACTGCATTTGTACCTACAGAAACACACACACACACACACACAAAATCTAACAGTGAGAAAAACTTAGTTCTAGATACAGGGTAAAAGGATTTTAAAAAAAATCTGTCTGGTGGCTGAAACAGCATAAGAGATGAGTTTAAGGCCAGGCTGGTAAATAGTGAAACCCTGTTTCTTAACAAAAAGAAACACACAAATGAAAGCTTTACAGAGATAGATAACTTTTTTTAAGAACAAAAAATATAGCCAGGTGGTGGTCGCACGCACCTGTGATACCAGCCCTTGGAAGGCGGATATAGGCAGATCTCAGTGAATTTGAGGCCAGCTTTGTCTACAAACGAGTGAGGATAGCCATGGCTCCACAGATAAACCCTGTATTGCCAAACTAAACCAATCTCCCACCACATACACACACACACATAAAAAAAAGGGGATGCTGTCTTGGAAATTCTTTCAGGGACATGAATTTGGCTGTCTTAAACCAATGAGGTATTCTGCTTTTACGAGGTCTTTTCATGATTCATTTTTTTTTAACATTTGAAAATGATGTTACTTATTTGTGTGCCTGTGTTTATGACATGTGCCACAGTGTGGGTGAAACGTAAAAAAAAAATTGTGGGCACTGATTCTCTCCTCCAGTTGTATAGGTTTCAGGGGACTGGACTCAGGTTGTCAGGTTGTTTGGTGGGTGAAAAGCATCAACACTGACCTACCTTATGGAGGAAAATTGTATTTAAGATCTTGCTACAAAAATATTGTCATTTATGTAAGATCCTGAAATCGATGCAACTGAGCATAAATACCTATCTACATAAAGTCATCACCTCTCTTGAAAAGATAACGACCGGGGTCTCTAGATTTGGTTCAGTAGTTAATGGCACTGACTGCTCTTATGGAGGATGCAGGTTCAAGTCCCAGCACCAACACCGCAGCTTAGAATTGCCTGCATTCCAGTTCCAGGGGATGAATCTAACCTTCATGGACAGTACATACATCTACATGTGGGAAAATGTTCACACCATAAAGATGAATAAAGAAAAGGAGAGGAAGAAAAGTGTTGGAAAGTGTCCACATAGTTGTGCTTGACAGAAGGTAGAACGGAAGAGAAAATGCTCTGAAAGATGTTAGTCTGAAGAACATGATCACTTCACTCCTCACTAATGGCCAGTGGAGGACAAAGGCACCTAAAGGCCAAATTATAATGCATATATTTGTGTGTGTGTAGGAAGTTAAGGCCTAAGAGGCCAAACAGAACCACCTGGCATCTGCCTGGCACTGTCACAGGTCCTGATCATGCCTTGCCAATGATGGAACACGTCATGTTTCCTGAAGAGCTAGAAACAGGCACTATCAGAGGTTCTGATGATGCCTAGCCAAGGAGGGGTGATGATGCTATGTCAACTGTCAAAGGATTTAAAGACCTGGGTGTTGGGTGTGGTTGTAAGTTTTTTCCGTTGTTAACTGAATGAGTCTGCCCTCTCCCGTTCACCACTCTCAGCATCTATGATTGTTGATGCCTTACCTTCTTATCTCCTCACCCAAGGAAGACATTAGGGCCAAGCTATATGTGTGTACACCTTTGTCTACTTTATCCTTTTGGCACGGGATCTTTTATTGAACCTGGAACAGACTTGGAGGCATCAAGCCCCACTGGTCCTCATGTTTCTGTCACTCACAACACTTGAGTTACATGTGATCATGGTCATTTCAGGCTTTTAAAAGAAGAGTCTGTTCATGTGTTTGCATGAACACTTGGGTGTGTGCATTCATGAGTGAGAAAAAGGTAATAGATCCCCTGGAGCTGGAGTTATAGGATGCCTAACATGGATACCAGGACTGAACTAGCATCCTTTGAAAGAGCAGCAAGCCTTTTTTAACATGCTGAGTCATCTCTATAGGTCCCACACCCAGCTTTTTATGCAGGTTTTGAGGAGTATAGCAACTGTTCTTATCCACTGAGCCATTTTCCCAGCCATCAGATTCTAATACTTTAAAATGTAAAAACAGGGCTGGTGTCCTGTGCTTACATAGCAATGTGTAAGATCCTAGGTCCCAACCACAGCATTATCAACAACAAGGAAATTAAAAATGTTAACTTGTCAAGCCTGGTGGCAAAGGTCCATCGCCTGTAACAACTTGGAAGACTGGGGCAGGAAACCACACATTTAAGTTTGCAGGGGCTACAGAGTAAATTTAATACCAGCCTGGACAATTATGTGACATCCCTCTCTCAAAATAAAAATAGATAAATAAATGGATTACTGGTACAGTACTTGCTTACCATGCATAAGGCCTCAGGGTCAATGTGGAGTAACCCTCACACATACACATGTGCGCATGTATGCAAACAAACACATACAAGCAACCAGATAAACAAACCAAAAAACCTTAAATAGAAAATGGGGAGCAGGCCAGTGCTGGCTCACGCCTTTAATCCCAGCACTCAGGAGGCAGATGGATCTCTGAGTTCAAGGCCAGCCTGGTCTACAAGAGCTAGTTCCAGGACAGGCTCCAAAGCTACAGAGAAACCCTGTGTTGAAAACAACAACAAAAAACCCAAAAAACAAAAAAAACAACAAAAAAAAAATGGGGCAGGGGTTGGGGGTGCTAAAAATGGCTCATTTGTTAAGCTGTTCTTCCTGAAGTTTTGGTTCCCAACACCCTGTGGTTTCTTAGAACTGTCTTTTTTTTTTTTTTTGTTTTTCGAGACAGGGTTTCGCTGTGGCTTTGGAGCCTGTCCTGGAACTAGCTCTGTAGACCAGGCTGGTCTCGAATTCACAGAGATCCGCCTGCCTCTGCCTCCCGAGTGCTGGGATTAAAGGCATGCGCCACCACCGCCCGGCTTCTTAGAACTGTCTTAACGCCAGACTCCGGCCAATTTCCTGGAGTCTACATGTATGTGGTACACAAAATACCCATACACACATATACAATAAAAAAAAATTAAAGAGGGGGCTGGAGAGATGGCTCAGTGGTTAAGAGCATTGCCTGCTCTTCCAAAGGTCCCGAGTTCAATTCCCGGCAACCACATGGTGGCTCACAACCATCTGTAAAGAGGTCTGGTGCCCTCTTCTGGCCTGCAGACATACACACAGACAGAATATTGTATACATAATAAATAAATATTTAAAAAAAATTAAAGAAAATTAGAGGGTTGTATGTGTGGCTCAGGGGGAAAATTGGTTGTAGGTATAAGGTCATGTTGCGGTTAAATTAACAGCATTGTGGGAGGTGGAAGGGCAATGCAATGTGAATTGTGCTTTTAAGTACTAATTTTTAGAAATCTGCCTTTGTTTATTAACCTCACTGTCTCTATGACAAAATACCAGAGACAAAACAACTTAAGAGGAGGAAAAGCTTATTGAGTCACAGCTTCAAATGTTTCAGTTCATGGCCCACTGGCCCTGTTCCCTCAGCCTGTTTCTTTGATAGCCTGATCATCCTGAAGCCATACCCTGGATGCTGAGTCTACAGAACCTCACCAACATACCCTGTTGAGTCCATGCACGCTCTTGTTCTTTATTTTCCTGGGCAGAAATTCAGATGCAAACCTATATCAATTTGTAGGATCAGCTATAAAAGCAAGTATCCTAGAAATAAAAAGAAAAGAGGACTTAACTTACAGTGGGAAGGGCCAGACCTCCTGAAGAGGCCTAATGCTAATATTTCAGGCTCTACAGACCTTACAGTCTATATACCACTCAATCACGCTGTAGCACTAAAGTCCACAGAGAGTAGTGAGTGTAGAGGACTATGTTGCAACAAAACCTGTCAAGCAGGAGCTTGGGGGGCTGTCAGTACAACTCAGTGGCAGAGCACACATGAGCGTTAGCTACATCCCTGACACAAAAACAATCCAAAAGCTTCTGTCACCTAGCTCACTTGCCTTAGTAGTCATTTCTGCTCTTCTGGCCCTCAACAGCACTGAGGATACTGGGAAGCATATAGTCAACTCAAACCATTCAGAAGGCTACATAATTGTGTCAGATAAGCTATGCTTAGAAATGGCATTTCTGTCAGGTGGTGGTGCCCCTTTCATCGAAGCACGGGGGTGGGGGGTGGGGGGAGGCAAAGACAGGCGGATCTTTCTGTGTAATCGAGGCCAGCCTCGTCTACAGAACAACTTCCAGGAGACCCAGTTACAGAGAAACCCTGTTTGAATCTCCGCCTCAAAAGAAAAATGACATTTTAACTATTCTCCCTAGCCAGAAGTGAGAACAAAGCCATCCTTTATTTCCCTACTTAGCTTATGTACCGTGTGCTGTTATTACTAGGGGAGTCCCCTTCTCTTCTCTTCTGAGGTCACTCACTCATACGATCCAGCAAACTGCACAACATTTTTTAAAAGTTATCTTCCTCAGAGCCAGAGATATAGTTCACTGGTGGAACAACTGTTAGTATGTCTAAGATCCTGGGTTTGAGTTTCAGCATGATAGAGAAGGAGGGAGGGAGGGAGGGAGGGAGGGAGGGAGGGAGGGAGGGAGAGAAAAAGAGAGAGAGAGAGAGAGAGAGAGGGAGAGAGTTATAATCTAGCCGAAAGAAGAGCAACAAAAGACTCTCTGCCACTGTCTGCGATCTCCAACGATCAGCTGGATCAGCCATCATTCGTAAAGAGGCAATGGCAGGTGTAAACAGTGGCGGAGACCTGTAATCCCAGCACTCAGGTAGCGGTTGTCAGGGATTGCCAACTTGCAGATTATGCTGGACCAAAGCTCCAGGTTAATCTGGGCTACAGGGACCCTGTCAAATCTTTTTTTTTTTTTAAATATATTTATTTATTATGTATACAATGTTCTGTCTCTGTGTATCCCTGAAGGCCAGAAGAGGTCACCAGACCCTATTACAGATGGTTGTGAGCCACCATGTGGTTGCTGGGAATTGAACTCAGGACCTTTGGAAGAGCAGGCAAAGCTCTTAACCTCTGAGCCATCTCTCCAGCCCCCTGTGAAATCTTTAAAAACAAACAGAAAAAAGAGTGGGGAGAAGAGAGGAAAACACAAGATACTGCCTGGTTTAACTCAATCATCTTTTCTTGTTGTTATTGTAGCCTATGATGGCCTTAAACTAGTAATCTTCCTACCTGAATCCTACTGGGATTACAGCCCTCTACTTGGCTGACTTCATTCAATGTAACTTTTCATATCATAAAAAGAAAAATTCTGCTGGGCGGTGGTGGTGCATGCTTTTAATCCCAGCCGTCAGATCTCTGTGACTTTGGGGCCACCCTAGTCTAAATAATGAGTTCCGGAGAAGAAACCTTGTTTGACAAACCAACATAAACAAAGAAATAAAATAAAAATGAAGCAGAAAATCAAATAACATTTATGATACATTATACTTTTATTATTTAGCCATTTAACATACCTCTCAAAAAGGAAAAGTCTTTTAAGAGCAGGACCTTATTACCACCTAGAATAATCTCTCGGGTACTTAGTTAAGTACTTACTACCCATTGAAGAAGCCAGAAATGCCACATGGTGAATACTTTTTTTGTTACCAAATGAGAAAGCTCACCAAAAGCATTAACAACTTACCAAGGCTTTCCAGCTGCCTCCCAAGGCATCCCTGGAAACAGTAATTCATCCTGGTGGGCTGGTGAATCTTGAACAGGACAGCCTGAAGGGCAGACCTTAGAAGTTTATCTTGACCAATGACAAAATTTAGCTCCCCAGCAATCTGCACGTTAAACAGGCATCGCAGGTGATTTGATATGTAATAATATATACATGTACACAAATACACACACACACATACTCACACACACACATACACACACTCTCCCTCTCTCTCTTTTTTGATTTTAGAGAGAGGGTTTTTCTATGTAACAGCCCTAGCTGTACTGGAACTAGCTCTGTATACCAGGCTGAACTCGAACTCAGAGATCGGCCTGCCTCTGCCTCCCAAGTAAGAACTGGAATTATAAGCGTGCGCCACCACTGCCCAGCCTGTAATCATATTTTCTATCATGTTAATTGCCATCATCAGATAAGTATGATCTGACACTGTAATACCCTTGTGGCTAATGCTTTTACCAGTTATATGGAAGCTGAGGCAAAAGGATTACCATATCTTAGACCAGGCTGGGCTATATACTGAATTCCTGAGCACCGCCAGACCCAAACCCAAGGTAATTAGTCATCTTTAAATTGATAAAAAAATTCTTTTAGTGGGCAACAAAATTTCTTTTTATGTAGATAGATTTAAATTCAAATCTCCTCCCACAACTAATCTTGGGATATTTCCAATCTCACCACCTATAAAAAAAATGACAAAAGGAGGCTAGGTTCGTAATTCTTTAGTATAGCTTGAATATTTTAATGTATTTTCACATAATGGGTAAATGTGAAGTAATTGTCTGATGCCTTGTAAGACCACCTTCCCTGTTCCTTTTCATTAACTTGGCAAGCCCAGTAGAGACAATGAATCACTTACCAAGATTTTAGCATGATTTTAAAACTATATTCTTAATAATCTCACTGGTCCAAAAGGGCTCAATTTTTCTCTTCACAGGGAACATATTTTTGACAGCATCATCTGGAAATAGGTAAAGAAACAAATTAAGATGGAACAGTCAGCCAGGTGGCAGTGGTGCACGCCTTTAATCCCCCAGTACTTGGGAGGCAGAGGCAGGAGGATCTCTGTGAGTTTGAGGCCAGCTTAGTCTACAAGAGCTTGTTCCAGGACAGGCTCCAAAATTTAGAGAAACCTTGGATTGAAAAACCAAAAGCCAAAAATAAATTAATTAATAAATAAATGAAGATGGAACAGTCAAGGTATGAAATCCAGCTTTATTTTCTTTCTGCTTTCCCTCCTTTGCCATCCATGTAGTCAGAACAGACTTCTCATTTTTCCCTCCCTCTACTTTATCTCTCCAGGGTAGTCTAAACATTAGCTTACTCCCTGGCACAACAAATAAATGAATAATACATTTATGTTTATAACTAAAACTAGCATTTTACTCTTGCCATATACCCATTTTTGCTTTAGAAAAAATATTTTTCCCTGGGCGGTGGTGGCGCACACCTTTAATCCCAGCACTCGGGAAGCAGAGGCAGGCAGATCTCTGTGAGTTCGAGGCCAGCCTGGTCTACAAGAGCTAGTTCCAGGACAGGTTCCAAAGCCACAGAGAAACCCTGTCTCGAAAAACTAAAAAAAGGAAAAAAAAGAAAAAATATTTTTTTTAAATTTTATGTGCATTGGTGTTTTTTTTCTGCATGTATGTCTCACAGAGTTACTGACAGTTGTGAGCTGCCAAGTGGGTGCTGGGAATTAAATCAGGCTCCTTTGCAAAAGCAGTCAGGGCTGTTCTTTCTCTCTTTGTCTCTCTCTGAGACAGTGTTTCTATGTGTGGCACTGGCTGTCCTATAACTAGTCTACAACTAGGCTGGCCTTGAACTCAAGAGTTCTCTGGTATGATTAAAGGTGTCCTGGCACTGCCTGACACAATCAGTGATCTTAACCACTGAGCCATCTCTCCAGTCCATTTTTGCTTTTTAAAAAATCTAATCCCTTGACACTATCATGCACATATACAATATATTTTGATCACACTGTCCCGTTACCTTCTTGTCTTCCTTCTATGCTCCCTGTATTCCTTCTTTCCTGAAAAGCCCTTCTTCCTTCTAAAGTTAACTTTGGATAAGCAAGGTAGCATAGGCCTGTAATCCCAGCATTCTGGAGACTGAGGCATAAGGGTTATATAAAAGGCCAGCATGAGCTATGAAGCAAGAATGTCTCAACAAAAACAAACAAAAAACCTCTAAAGGCTAGAGGATTGAGAGCAGGGGTAGACGTCTTGCCAAGCATACACAACCTGAATGACTCCTGGCTCTCGACAAAAATAAAGTTAGTTTGGGTAGAGGTAACAAGTAACTATACAAAATACTCAAATATATATGAACTCTAGACCTTAGTTACATTCAAATCTTTCCCCTGAGGCTTCATTAGCCTTATCTTTGAATGTGGGACAGGTTGGACTCCTTGACCAGCTTTTTATGTCTGGCAGTCTTACGAAGCTACATTTCCTATTTCTGACCAGGATAGCCAAACACAACATGTGATGGTATATGTATGCTATCTCTAGCGCACAAAGGCTGAGGCAAAAGGACTGAAACCTCAGTTCTACCTTAGTAAACCCATCTCAAAGGAGCAGAGACCCTCAAAGGTAACCAATCCTTCGTTTAGTCATCATCAGGAGATAGCATGTGACTCACAAAACTCTTGGTTCTGGATAAATAAATAAATAAATAAATCACTGCCAGTCATTCAGTAACAAATTACAGCTGCTGCTCTTGTTATCAATAGTGGCTAGTCTCTTAATCTCTAAGACTCCTCCGTGGTGGAATAACTTGGCGGTAAGATGTCAAAGGAAAAGCCAAAGGCCCCAAGTATTCCTTGGTTCTAAGGGGGCATCCTATTGCTTGTATGTTTACAGTCCCTAGGTGCTTACCATAAAAAGTAACCCAAAAATCTAGCAATTCAGTAATGAACCAAAACCCAGGCTATTAACCTGCCATTAGATGTAACTGGTACCAGCTAAAACTGCTAGGCTTCCTGTGTCTTCATGACTCAAGCAATCATCAACCTAAATCTCAGAAAGACTAAGGAGCTGATTCCTAGGGCTCAAGTTTCTTAGTTTCAATAACCACCAACCCCAGCCAAACACCATCAGTTCTCTGGTCTATTAGTGGCCAGAAAAGCTCTCTCACCATACGTGGGGAAAGTCTGGTGCCTAGCCAACTTGGGGCGAGAGCAGACACCTTAAGGGAATTTGATTTCTCCTTTTATTGGGGGGGGAAACTAAAGGTGGAATTTACTAGATTAAAATCTGCACAGCCATGAGCAGCTGCTGCCACTCCCCATTTTATAATGTGTTTAATCCATAGAGCCAAAAGTGGGAAAAGGAATGTGGACATGACCTAACAGGGAAATAAATGTTAAGTATAAACCGTGGTCTGTAAAATGCCTGCACTTGCCTGGTTGGCAGTTCCTTTCTCTGGGTGGAAAAAAAAGAAGCTTATTACCACAGTTCCCTGCTGTCATGACGCAGGCCCGCTCTTTTCTAAATGAATGTCTTAGCCTCCAAGTACTGCTCTATTTACTCTACTTCTGTTAAGGTTACTGCACTGAAGAGGAAAAGAACTTCGTCAGATGCAAAACCCTAAAACCCTTCAGGGAACAGATCTTTGTACCTGCATCCACTGAAGTCCAAGGTCCTGAGTTAAGATGTCTAGTATTGCCAACCAATAATAAAAGCTCAACTCAGTGGGAGTAGACTGACTATCTGCAGCGGTGTTAAGAGTGCCATGCTGAATGAATTCAAGGCCTTGCTCAACCCATTGCAAAGTAAGAAAAAATCCCCACAAATCTAATAAGGACAAAAACAAAGCCATCCAGGCTAACAAGTGAGGTATATTTCTCCTAATTTTCATGTGTAAGGATAAGCAGGAGCTCTGAATTTATCAAAGTTATAGCAACCATTTTCTTAATTTTCTATAATGCAATGTAAGTCAAATATTCATTCATGAGAATAAAATAAAAATGTAGATTCCAAAAATAAAAATGTAAAAATAAAGAAATATAAAGTTATAAGTCTAGGAGAATGAGAACAGACTATCAGCAGCTTTCTCAGCAGATCAAGGATCATTCATTTTCTCAGATGCTTGGGAAGCATAGGTCATTTTATAATTGGCTGTTTTATTTACAAGGCAAGAGCTTCTCCCTACAGATTGAGAGTAGTGTCCTGGCCATCCTTGATAAACGACAGATATGAACTGAGTTAACCTTTAGAAGACAGAGATATGTGACCTCTGGGTTAGACACTGTCTCCGTTATGAAAAACTGGCGCCACCAGAGGCGAGGCATAAGACTCCAGTTTACACCTGGAGGGACCAGGAGACAGTGGACAAAGACAATGGGTTAATTGATGAGCTCTGATAATGGAGGCTGTAAAGTATGACAGTCAATATCTGAGTTTTACCTTGAGATAGTATGAAAAGCTTTCTGCTATCTCCTAAATTCTCAGCCTAAGAACCAGTTAATCCTAATTTATTAACCTTCTAGTATTACTAGCAGTCCCTTTTGGACTAATTGCTAAAGACATCTGTTTTCTTGCAATTAATGACCTTTGTTGTAATCTCCTCTGAAACATATTTCATAATGGCTGCCTAGTTACTCATTGACATTAGCATTCACTCCCCTCTTTAGGGTCTCTGCTGACTAACCCAAGAGTCAGGGCAAGGTTGTTAAGAATTCCTTTGTTCAGAGCTAATGCCTGGTGTCCCTACTATAAAAAGTGGGTTCCTAAACCGGCCTTTTGCCACAGCCTAACAAACACCATTTCTGGCTGTAGTCTCAGCTAGCTGATAAGCTTCTGTGCCCCGCGATGTTTTATTTTTATTTTTCATTTTTAAGTTTGCTTCTGGTTTTCCTAGGATCTGGTTTCTAGAATAAAGTTTGCTTCTAGTTTATTAGACTTGGTGGTATTCTCATCTTTGCGAGACCCCCCTGGACCCACAAGACATTTGTTTTGTTTTGAGCCAGGGTCTCAGTTAATTCAGGCAAGCCTTAAACTCTATATAGCGAAGATGACTCTAAACTGATTATGCTGCCTCAGCATCCCAGGTGCAAGAATTACAGGACTAGGTCACCATACTCACCTTATTGCTGTCTTTTTATTTTGCCATATCCCTTTTCCCAGTGAGAAATCACCCCACACACTTAAGAGATTAATAAAGGAAAAAACTCTTTAATAATGCTCATCCAGTTCTGCCTAATGCTCAAAGAGGAGCCTGCCTTGAATAGATTTAACTGCCTTACATACACCTTAGGCTTATGCATTCTGCATATGCTGTCATCCTTAAACCTCTATTGGCTCGAGGTTACACTTTGAGCAATATAAACAGACACTGGAGATTCAGCCTGGCCACTTGGACGATGGGAGATTTAAATACCAAAGAGAGTGCCATGATTATTTTTTTCTCTTTATTGGGTGGTGGTGTTCTTGAGGTTCAGGCTGGCTTTGAATTCAGAGAATTGCTTGCCTCTGTCACCTCAGTGCTGGGACAAGGAGTGTGTGCCACCATTGTCCACTTAGCCAGAATTCCTTTTTATTTTTCTTTTCAGAATGTTTCTTAAATACATGAATGTTTTCTTTTCAAATAGTTGTTACCCAGGATGATATTCCATCTGGCAGAATTAAGCTTTTCCCAACAGAGAGCCTGGGGCTTTATGGAAAGGCAGGCCTTAATCTTGGCTGTGAATCTACACTGCCCCCTTGCGCTGCCAGTTAGAAGCATATTTTCTGGGAATGTTCTAATGTCTGGTTAAATCAGGATTGTCTCCTTTGTTATGGGAATGGGCCTTAAAAGATGGTTAATCATGATGAATAAACATTTTACACCCTAGTACCCTGAATTTCTTTTAATCTCTAATAGGACTGCCTGGTTGCCTGTCTTTTAGAGGTAGAGCTCCCCTAGCCAATTCTACTTTGTGCTAATTCTACTAAGCAAATCTATTGTAAATCTTTTATTTATTTATTTTTCTTTTGAGAGAGGGTTTCTCTGTAGCTTTGGAGCCTGTCCTGGAACTAGCTCTTATAGACCAGGCTGGGCTCAAACTCACAGAGCTCTGCCTGCCTCTGTCTCCCGAGTGCTGGGATTAAAGGCATACGCCACCACCGTCCAAGTAAATCTTTTATAACATTAATTTTATAACTCTGAAGTTGGGTGATGGTGGGGCACACCTTTAATCCCAGCACTTGGGAGACAGAGGCAGGCGGATCTTAATGAGTCTAAGGCTTGCCTGGTCTACAAAGCAAGTTCCAGGACAGCCATGGCTACACAGAAAAGACCTGTCTTGGAAAACAAAATAAAGAAATAAAAAAAAATAGATTGCTGTTTTGAGTTTCTTCTACATTGATATGTTTTTGATACAGGTTGTGCTACCACGCCCAGCTTGCGGTTCTATTGTGCACAAATACGAAAATTTTATTTAACAGAATTCCTACTCATGAATAGGTTTCCCATTATTTACTGCTAACAAAACTGTGGACATGCCCACCCTTAAACCTTTTTTATATATCCCTAAGTACATATTTGGGGATACATACACCTAGTAATGAACATAAACCTTTATTACAGAGAAATAAAGAGCCGGGCAGTAATGGCGCATGCCTCGAGGTCAGTCTGGTCTGCAGGAGCTAGTTCCAGGACAGGCCTCAAAGCCACAGGAAACCATCTTGAAAAACCAGAACAACAACAACAACAAAAAAACAAAAACCCTGAGAAATATAAAGAGGACTATGAGATGGTTTCTACCCTTCCATTTAAATTGTTAACAGAGGTACCCCAGAGTGACAGGATGTCTCTGTAGCTTTGGAGCCTGTCCTGGAACTTGCTCTGTAGACCAGACTGGCCTCAAACTCAGACATCCGCGAGTCTCTGCCTCCCGCAAACTGGGATTAAAGCAGTGAGCCACTTTTGTCCGGTTTCTTTTTGTTTGGCTTGCTTTGTTTTTAGATACGTGTGGTGCCTGCATAGGGATTAAAGCAGTGAGCCACTCAGGTCAGGTTCCTTTTTGTTCGTCTTGTTTTGTTTTTAGAGAACTGGGGTCCCTGCTTAGCCCCCTGTTGCGTGACCTTTTGGCCTGAACACAGAGATCCACCTGTCTCTGCCTGCTGGGGAGTAAAGCCGGGCATTACCTCACCACCTGCTGGCTTTGAACTCTTTTCTCATTGATCAAAGAAAAACTCAGTAGCAGGGTAAATTTAAAATCCTGTGACTAGGATTGCAAATGCTAACAACACTGCCATTGTCATTTTATTTTAGACTTTTATCCAGTAGGGAATACTTAGGAAGCCATTTGCTCCTGAGGAAGAAATAGGGTTTAACACCTTTTCTTTCACCTCCAGTTTTAAGCAAACAAAGAGTAAAAACCTTTCTTTCAAAAGCAAAATGGGCTTGGTGGTGGTAGGGCAGCCTTTAATCCCCAGCACTGAGGAGGCAGAGACAGAAGGATCTCTGTGATAAGGCCACCATGGCCTACAAAGTGAGTTCCAGCCAGGCTCCAAACCTACAGAGAAACCCGGTTACTGTCTCAAAAAACAAAATAAAACAAAACAGATAAAAAAGCTGCTCCTCTACACCCTGATAAATCAGATACAAGATAAAACAGAATGTTTTTGTTTTGTTAATATAGGGTTTCCGAGTAACAGTCCTGGTTGTTTTGGAACTAACTCTGTAGACCAGGTTAGCCGTGAACTCAGAGACACCACTGCTTCTGCTTCCCAATTTCTGGGGATTAAAGGCATTTCCCTCCCCTGGCCGGCACAACAAAGATTTTTAAAACCCAACAATCGGGACCCGATGGATGGTCTACTGCGGTGGTGGGCAGGGTGAGGGACGGCCATATTTGCCAGCGTGGCCCAAGCCAGCGACAACAAAAAGTGCATGGGCACTCGGACAGGCGCAGGAACGTGGGGCTGCCCGGCCCGGGCCGAGCCTCGCTGCCGAGCTCGCTGCCTAGCCCGGCTCTGCCCAGCGCACCTGCCGCCTGCGGGGTTGTCGTACTGACATGCCTGCAGCCGCCTCCATGCTGGAAGTGTCCACTCGCCTTCTACTATTATGGCGACATCCTCCCAGTATCGCCAGCTAAGTGACTATGGGCCACCATCACTAGGCTACACCCAGGGAACTGGAAATAGCCAAGTGCATCAGAGTAAATATGCAGAGCTGCTGGACATCATTGAAGAGTTGGGGGAAAGAGATCAGACCCATGTACTCAGGGAGCGAGAGCACCATGGAGAGACTAAAACCAGGCATCTTTCATGCCCGAAGCCTGGTTCTGGAGTGCTTGGCCGAAACGGAACATAATGCCAGGTCCTAGCCCCTGGCCAGTCTGAAGGCCCATCTCACTATCCCGTGGAGATGAGAGGCTTTGTTCAAAATGGCAGTGGTTTTCCTGCCATGGTCATTAAGCTCTGAACCCACATCCAAAAGACTGGGAAGACATTTTGCAGTTACTGACGGCTGCATTTTAAGTAGTTAGACACGATCCAGCTCTTTTTTTTCTTCCCAAGCATTGATTTGAAAGATGTTTGTGAAGCCACTTCACAGCAAGCTATTGTTTGCCCCCAAATACCAGTGTCCCCTTTAAAATCTCCCTTTGGATACACTTGCCATTTGCCTCACCCCAGTTGACTTCCTTTCCATGAGCTCACCTGCCTCTGAGGACTTGAGTGCAGAGCACAGCACATCTGCTTAGTAAGCTTTCCTGCCTGCTTCACAGAGCTGCTCTGCTTAAGCCTTTGCATGACTGAGTGCTTTGAAGTCAATCTTAAACATGCACAAGTTATAAATACAGAAGAGCAATCTACCCACCTGCCACGCGCCCTGCAAATGTCCATCCTGACACTGTGGATCCTGTGAGATGGTCACAACATCTGGAAGGAAAACAACTCCAACTGTTGCATCTTTGTATTTATTTCTTGATGTAATAAAGCTTATTTTCATTAACAAAAAAACAAAACAAAAACAAAAACCAACAATCGGGAATGTATAAGATGAAGCAAATACAGTAAAAATTTTCATTACAAAATCTAGGAATTAGGCATTCTATGTGGGTACTTTCATTCATAATCAGGTGGTGTAAGAAACGTAGCAAGGGGCTGGAGAGATGGCTCAATAGTTAAGAGCATTGCGTGCTCTTCCAAAGGTCCTGAGTTCAATTCCCGGCAACCACATGGTGGCTCACAACCATCTGTAATGAGGTCTGGTGCCCTCTTCTGGCCTGCAGACATACACATAGAAAGAATATTGTATACATAATAAATAAATATGTTTAAAAAAAAAAAGAAACGTAGCAAGTTACCTCCAGAAAGAACACATCATGACATAAGCCTCAACAACGTTCCTCCATGTTACTTTTCTTTTGATGCAAGGGATGATTAAGCTCTTGCAGGCAACAGTGGCCCAGATCTTCAATGTCAACCCTATTAGGGTGGGGTTTTCTTGCTTTTAATGTTTGCTTTGGTGTTGGTGATAATCAAAGTCAGGGCCTTGGACTCCCATAAATTTATACCCTGAAGCAGAGTTTATGCTTCTTAGCCTCCTTACATCTATCTGACTTATAGCCCTTTAACTTTTCAGTGTAGCAAAATGAATCACCACAGACTCTTAGGGAGACCATCAAAACAGTGAGCTTTTGTCTTGGGACAGGGGTAGGCTCTAAACTCTTATCAATACCCTAGTTGGCTAGCAGAATACATCTGAGTAAATGAATTACTTCGTACTCCTGGCTTCTCTGGTGAAAAATTAGAAGCTTAGATCAGGCCTCCTCCTAGCACCCGGCTGCTGCCTCCACTCCCGAATTGTTCCTGTGCTACAATTGAATCCAGTTTCTGCACCAGCTCTTCCAAGAAGAAACAGGCCTTGAAGTGCAGCCAGGAGCGCTTCTACAAAGAGGCTTCCTGCAGGTGCAGCTCTTGCCCCAGAAGCAGAACCATCTCTGCACCAGATGTATGGCCTTGTGGTTTTAGGTGTTTGATTTTTTCCAACCATTACCCATTCTCCACACCTCTTTCTATAAAGCATACAACTGATCACAAATGGCCTGACTTAATTTAAAAATTAGTGCATTAAAAAAAATTGAGGGACTAGAGAGATGGCTCTGGCAGTTAAGAGCATCAGCTGCTCTTCCCAGTACCCAAACTGGTGGTTCTCAACCCAGTATAACTCCAGTTCCAAGCGACCCAGTATGTTCTTCTGGGGAACTAGAGAACACCATTCTGAGGGCACTGCATGAACCTGCAGGCAAAACATGCATATTCACAAAAATAAAGGCTAAAAAACAAAAGTAACACTATTAATTGCCAGGTCAAATAGCACATACCTGCAATCCTAGCACTTTGGAGACTGAGACAGGAGATGAGAAGTTTGAGGCCAGACTGGTCTACATGAGACACTATCTCAAAAAAGTAAGTGAGTTCTTTTTTTAAAAGTCAGGGGTGGGGTTGGGGGTGGTGATAATATAGATGAGTTGGTAAAGTATTCATTTAACACGCAGGAAGCACTAGGTTGCATTACTAGCCTTGAATAAAAACAAAACAGGAACGGTGACACAAACCTGTAACCCCAGCACTCGCGCAGAGGCCTCGTATAAATTCAGTCATCCTCAGGTACATATGCCAGATAGCTAGGGTTCTAAGAAATCAGACCTAAACAAAACAAAGCACAAGTTTAGTGCCTACCCCAAACAGAAGATACTGTTGTAATTCACTGGGACAGCACTTAGTTAGCATATCTAGTATGTACAGGGTTCTAGCATGTTCCAGCTCCCGGCATCGCCAAAAATAAACAAAACCAAGCACAGGGACCAAAGTCTAAATATTTGCCTCAGCCTACTTCTCTGCCTCAATCCAAAGCTCTGCAGTCTCACTGCAAATATTCATGGTGTGGGCAGGGAAGCAAGTGGCAAGGCATCTAGATTTGCCATGTCCACATCCTTCAAGTCATTATCACGGGTATTTTTTAAAGGGGAAGCAGGCCATCCTCTTGCAGTGCACTCAATAAACTATTCTTCCTGGAAGAACACAAAAAGAAAAATGATGGTCTAGAGTTAATGCTCAAAAATAGATCCTGAAAGACAATTAGTAACTATAAGACCCTAAAAACTTAAAAGCTTCTAGCATATCTGATAAAACAAGAGTTGCCAAAAGTAATACCAACCTTTGGGGGGGGGGGATAAAGGGAGGAGAGAGGGGCTATCCTATATGTATCCCACATTACCTTCAAACTCATTTGCGATCCTCCTGCCTAAACTTTCAAATGCTGTGCCTACCATAGGCTGCTGAATGCGTTTCTAAAATGCCAAACGGATCCTAGGTGCATGAAGTGGGGTAAAGGTTTTGCCAGAGTATCTGGAGGTAAGTGTTCTGAAGTGAACATGGCTCATTTCCAACAGAAACGTATTTACATGGGATCCTGGGGCTACATGCCTTTATACTACATGACTCCATTAGTGTTGAAGGTCCTTGTGTGTGAGGGAGGGGTAGAAAAGAGTGAAAAAAAAAAGAGCATCAGGCAAACACTGGGCCATTAGGATGAGGCTCAGCTCTAACAAACAGCACCCCGGTCCCACCAAGGAAGTAAATGTCAGCAATACCAAAAGCAGAAACGTGTAAATACCAAGGTCTCAAATCCAAACGCAAAAATCCCGGAGAAAATAAATGACTAGGAAACGTGCCTCATCATTTTGAAGAAACACTTGACAGTCAAGAACCTGTAGAGATCACTTTAGCAGGCACACAAAGGTTTGTCGATGACTAATTCATTTATTCATCCAATAAATATTACTGAGGCCTACTAATATGCCAGAATGAGCTTTGGAAATGAAATCTGCCCTGGCCTCATGGGAACATAAGAAAAGAGGGAACAAAGAAAAGAGGCATGTAAACTGTCAGAACACAATCTGATAGGTGCTGTAAGACTTAATACGATAATGGCTGATGTAAAATTTCTTCCCAGGGTGGGCTTCTCCAGACTGCTGGGGGTTAACAACTGCAGGAGAAAAACCAGTTGCACAAATCAAGGGTTAAATACTTTTTAAAACTGTTTGGCTTTTTCATAATTAGCATTTTCCTTAATTTCCAATCCTAGTTAGATTGGAGAAGCAGATGCTGGCATGGGGTGGAAAGACACAGTGCTCCAAAAAGGATGTTTTCAACCATAGTCCTTCCAACTTACCACATACAAGCTTTATTTAATACTATCTACAGCTAGAAAAATGCTGAAAAATAAGATGTTACAACTAACTAGGGTAAAGTCAGAGTAACTAAGTAGTCGAAAGCAATTAAGCCTACTTGGCTCCTTTAAACCCCCAAATCCACGATCTATTCTGATAATAATAATAAAAAAGTTCCGTTTGTCAGGGCTATAATCCTGGTACTTGGGAGTCTAGGGAAGGACGATCTCCATATACTGGCAGCCAGCATGCATTATACAGGGAGCACCAGACTAGCCTGAGCCACATCTGTGAGACTGCTTCAAAAATAAGGAAAAAAAATATAAATAATAACTAAAAACAAGACTTAGCAATGCCACCCACAATCCCAGCACTGGGGTACTGGAGGCAGGAGGATCTTAAACTACATGAGATATCTCCCCTCACACACACACAAAGATAAAAAATAGACTATTAAATGCAAAATAGATGAGACATGAATATGGGATTGAAATGTTAAGACTGCCACGCGGTGGTGGCACATGTCTTTAATCCCAGCACTTTGGGAGTCAGAGACTCTGTGAGAGTTCGATGCCATCCTGGTCTACAGAGTGAGTTCCAGGGTAGGTAGGGCTGTCTCGAAAAAACCGAGGAGAGGGGAGAGAGAAGGAGGGGGGAGAAGAGAGAGAGAGAGAGAGAGAGAGAGAGAGAGAGAGAGGTTAGACCACTGTATTTGTATTATCTAATAAACCTTAAGCAAGAGCTAGTTCCGGGACAGGCACCAAAGCTGCAGAGAAACCTTGTTTCAAAAAAAAAAACAAAAAACAAAACCCAAACCGTATGTACCACGAGTAACCGGTTTCAGGTATCAAAGAACACCCTTCCCCACGTCTGAGAACACCTGATTCACTTGCACATTAAAAAACATAATGAAACATATTCACTCCTTTTTTCAAAACTGTGCAACAGTGGGAGTCTCTTTGAGGAGAGATTACCACTGTAAAAATTTATCCGGAAATCCCACCATCTGGCAAAGGCACAGCAGGAAGCGCTGCAGGGAGTGCAGCCAGCGCCTGTGCTCCAGTTACCCCCCCTTCCCTTCCCCACTCACCAGCGCGAGCGTAGCACGTAACTTCCGTTTCTGCCACCCGCGCTCTGCGCGTGACGGGCGAGAAAAGATGCTTCCTTAGGACGGGGGTGGGGGTGGTGGTGGAGTAGGCTCATGCTGTGTACGTTCTGAGCCTACATTTCCCAAGGGGCTGTGGTGCCTGCAGCAGTAGACACGATGTCACCCGGAAATGGATGCTGAGCCTTCCACGCGTAAGAGGGAAAAGCCAACAAGATGGTTAAGCACTCCACTAGGGATCTTTAGGGAAAGCGTGAGTTTGCTGGCTGAACAACTTTCCGGCGTTAAACTAGAATCATATGAGAAAAATATTTAGGAGGTGATGTGAGTCTATCTAGCGTTCACATCCTTCTCGCCTACGTAAGGAACTGGAAGTCAGCCAAGGCTCCAGCAGCCCCAGCGGCATAACCTTACAAGGAGTGGGGCGGGAGGGGGGAAAGAGACGGACAAAGCCCAAGAACAAAGAGTTACTTTCACGTGGTCACTGCTGACCATCAGAATTCCCTTTTTGGGGAAGGGAGTTTAAACCTGAAATACCCAGAATTGGCAGCATCTTAAGTGTATTTCATGACCAAGTTGTGTATTTTAATGTAGACAAATTGAGAAAATGTTTTCATTTTGAAAGACACGCTGTAACCAGTACTGCACACCCACAGTTCTGCAGGGCTTTTTAAAATATGCTCCTAATCCAGAGGATCCATCAGCAAAAAAAATGCAGCATCATTTAGGCTTTTGCACAACTTTTACAGCAGTGGCTCTGTTTTTCATTATTTCCCCTATCGTGGTTTAAGAATAATAAATTGTCAGGATGAACGTCAGGGATGATGTGTTTTCTGCCCTTCTTTATGGTGCTTTACTTACATGTTTTAAAAACATATAACCAGTTCTTTAAAATATTCTCTTCTAGTAATGTCTAAGTGTTTAGACGCTGTTGATAACCAAACAGACTGATCCCAAACCAGAAAATAAACCCCACAGCCCTTACTATAAAATGTAGATTACTCCCTTCCAAAAACAAAATTTTGGGGAGGTGATAATTTTGTATGACTTGTCTGGTACAGCAAATCTTATGTTTTACTAAAATTGTTATTCTGAAACATACAAAAAAAAGTCCCTTGGTTCAGATGGTTTTACCAAGATGTAATTTTTCTGTGTCCCTTAATGGATTTTTGTTATTGTTTTATGAGACAGGGTTTTGCTATGTAGCACTTATAGCAATCCTCCTGCCTCGTTCTCCCAAATACTCGGGTTATAAAAATCGGAGTAACAGAACACTAATAAGCAATGTGCAATAAAGTTAAAATTTCAACAGATATTAAGATATAAAATATCACATGATTAAAAATAAAACTGAGAAACATACAAAGAAAAAAATTAACCTAAGAAAAAGGAAATAAGATGCTGTTTTTTAAACAATTTATCTAAATACACAACACAGTACTTCTGAGTTAAAAAAAATGGCACAACCTTTTGGGGAAGAATTTGGCAAATTTTATTTGACCAAGTGTTAAAATGATCATACTATTTGATATAACAATTCCATATTCGTGGACCTATTCTAACACTTTTAACTTGTACTTTTTTTATATTACCAGCAAAAGTTAATCTACACTATTAGACATTAGAGCCAACACAACAAATTAGCAATAAAATGTCTTTTAAAAATATGCAGCCAAGTCTAGTCGCCTTAAACACTTGGAACAAATAATAAATCAAGCAAAAACAAGGGTGTGTCCAGCATGCTGCAGTCGGCCATTTTATGGCCTCTGCAGAACGACAAATACAAAAGACAACTGTACATAGAGAGCCACGCCACGCCCAGAGGTGCCAAATCAAAAATTCACTTTTGTCTTTCATTCTTTTAAGCAAATACTTACTATGCATTGAGGTAAAAACAGTAAACAGTCTCCTCTAATGATTTGTTTAAGGTTTATGATTTCAGACAAAAATTGAAATAATTCCCTTAAACATGTCCTTCGTTCTAAGGGATAAGGAATGCTTAAGAGCACAGGATTATGCAACAATAAATCGTGGAGAAGTACCCAGGCTCGACCATTCAATTACCTATAAAACCTTAGGCAAATTAATCTGTGTTCCTCAAAGTTCTCAACTGTAATAAAATGAGTAATACTATAGCTATCCCATAGCATTATATAAAACCTTTAGACTGGTATCTTGTGCTAGTAAGTACTATAGACCTGTACATATTAGATACAGGCCCAGAGATTGAAATAGGAACAGCAAAAGATTGAGAGGATTAACAGAAATCTCATTCTAAAACTCTGTATCCTTTCCTATATCTGAAAGCTAAAAGATCAGTTTTAGCTTTAGTTATATTTTCACTAGCAATCCTCAGAGGCACAAAAGGTCAGCAGACAAACAAAATGAAACAACCAACCTCCAATTTCCCAACTTTACCTCAGATCAAACCATGCAGAAAGTTCTACATTAGGAATAGAGATAAATAGATAGATAGATAGATAGATAGATAGATAGATAGATAAATAGGGAGAGAAAAGGGCGGGCCTGAGCTCGGGATTCTTTCATATTTCCACTGCTTTTACTTTTGTGTCTGCGTGTCAGTAAGTTTCAGATGATCATTTGCCCAGATCTTAGGTTTCAAAGTTATTGCGTTTAGAACTAGCCAAATCCTCTCGTGTATACTCTGTAGGGGAGAAAGCTGCACGCGCTTTAGGCAGACATCGTAGTCACTGCGTTCGGCTACTCTGGTGGGATAAATCCGAGGACCAAGATCGGCCAGGATGATTCAGGAGTCTTTCGAATAGGCTTTGTCTGGACGTGGGTGGATAGTTAAGCGCAACATGCTGCGGCAGCAACATTTTACAGCCTCACTACGCTGCATTTTAAAATTCTCATTATCAGACTGACCAGGGACTTAAGATTCTTGAATGATTTTCATTGGGTTTGGCCGTAGCCTCCAACTCCGACTGATCCCTTCAACAAGTAGAAAACTAGATTTGCCTCTCCTAGCCTAAAATGGCGATTTGGACGAAGGACAACTTACCGAACCACTCGCTATTTCGCAATCATAATTACCAGAACGTTGCGCGCGCCTCCCGCCCTCCCAGCCAAGCCATTGGCAACACGCAAGCGCACTTCTCCATCCCTAGCTATGAACTCAAAACGGTCAGCGTGCTCCCTTACGCAAGCGCACTTTGATTGCCGCGTAGACTCGTTTGCTTTCAATGAGCATGCGTGGTTACACCTTCTCGCCTCTCTACCCCACCCTTACCGAACGCCACACGATCGCCCGTGCCAGTGGAGCCCCTCCCTTTATGTCAGATTTTTCTCAAAAGTACTTGAGCGCCACCTCTTGGTGCTACGATTCCTCACTTGGGATCTAAAAGTCCACGCCAAGCGTGTCTGTCTTTGCTAGTCTCTTACCCCTCCCTGTGTCTGTGAATGACTATATTTTTATGACCGGTGCATCTGCACGCGTTTCTCCCCAATGTTGTGCCCTGGTGTCTAAGGGTATCATTAACAACATAACCTAGCATGGTTAACTGTGATAAACCAGCTAAATTGCATATGGGGAAAAAAAGGCATCGGTGATAAAGTGCATCCCAAATCTAGATGCAATCCGCCAGCATCGTAAGGGAGAGGTTATGAAGTCCGCGGGTTCCTTTAATATAGTAAAAACCCTCCAACCTAAAGAAAAGCAAGGACACATCGTGTGCTAAACCACTGAATCAGCCGGGCGTGGCAATTTACGCCTTTAATCCCAGTTTTAGTATGATGTCTGAGAGTTCAAAACCCGCATCCCTCAGCCTCAATACGAGAACGCGCGCGCGCACACACACTCGGGCGGGGGGGAGGGTACAACGACCAAAAATCAACCAATTAAACAAACAGATAAAGCCTCATCCTTTTGATACACTCGTAACAAATAAAGAACTCGAAAGTTTTGTTTTCAATAGGATGTCAAGGGAAGCAGTGATGCTCAGGTGCCCCAAACGTGCTTAGAAGATTGTCTAAAAAATCTTTTTCATAATATTAAGTAAATGGTCAACATCCTTTTGGAGGGCTGGGGCTCTATTGGCCTCCATTTTTCCCTCCCGTCAAAGGGAAGAGGGCACAAATTAAGGATCTTCCTGACCCACGTTCCCTCTGCCGCCCTCCATGTTATATTTTTGACCTTCGTCGTTCCTTTACCTCTTGCTGAAGCGAGTGTCGTAGTAGCAAAAATCCTTACTTCTGCAGTGCGGAGAGCGTGGAGAGAGTGGCGGGACAGAGAGACGTGCCTAGGTGACAGCAACCTGGAATTAACGGCGGTGAGCGCCAGGTACGAAACCTGCTGTACTCGCAGCCTCTGCGGTGATGCCACAAATTCATAGCCTCTCAGGGAGCGCAGCAGAGCGCTCCGACGCATGCGCCGCGCTCCATGTCCCCCCCCCCCCCAACCCCGGTCCCCCTGCCCCCCCTCCCTCTCAGAGCGCCCCTCTAAAACCTACAGCAGCCCACAGAGCCTTCACTCCTTGCCCCGGACCCAGGGCCTTAGCCCACCCTGCTTTTCCCATCTCTCTGCTCCCACCCGGCGCCCACCACCCACCCCTTCCTCAGGTCGCTCTTCTGTCAATACTTTCCTCATTCTTCTAAATGTACCATTCCATTAACAAGTCTCTCGACGTGTTCCCTTCCTGACCTACCCCCCAAGCCTTCTCTGCCTCTCTGGAGCTCTGCTAACTAAGCCCCTGAGTGTTTCCTGTTGTGCCTAATATTCCAGTTGTTTAAAAAAAAAAAAAAAAAAAGGCTGACCATGATGATGAATGCCTGTTATTCCAGCATTTAAGAGGAGTAGAAAGACGAGAGTTCAACCTCACCTACACAGCAAATTCTGGGCCAGAAAATATCCTGGAGAGCAAACAAAACAAAAATAAGCCCTCACTTTTCAAAAAAGAAAAATATGTATGTAGATTTAGTTGTAGGTCCAAGTTACAGAAACTGGGAGATAAATCTTTCCTGATCCCTGGAACCAGGGCACTTGGGGCAGGCTCTTCTCACTCCCAGCATGCTGTTTCTTGTTGAAAATCTTAGTTTTTAAGGGTCTCCTTAGTATTACGCCCCCCTTTCTTATTAATTTCTGAATCATGAAAGATTAGGAAAGCTAATGGCGCCTGTCTGTCTAGCACTTCATTAGCATGTGGATTTTCACGGAGAGCACCACAAACATACAAGTAAAAAGAGAAAGAGAAAGGAGAGAGTCTGCGGGTAGAGGGACAGATGGACAGCACCAGGCTGGTACCTGAAACAAATACCATGAACAGAACAGAGTAGAAGGCCGAACAATAAGATATATTGCGTCACCTAGTGGACAGATAGATAACATGCAAAAGAATTGGTATCATGGCTTCAGCTCTAGTCTCTGCTTTTAAGTAAGACATTTCAACTTTGACAATTCCCTCTTTCATTTCTGAAAGAGCTTTTTCTCTGAGAGGAGAGGAGTGTGATGGAAAAGCCCTTTTTAGTCAAATCTGAACAACAGAAGAGGCCTTTAAGCTAAATTTACCTGGAGTCCACGGTGAAAAGTGTTAGTATCTCAGAACAAAAGTTGTACTTGATTAGGCTGTACAGAATTGAGACAGACTGCAGTTACAAAGCTCAGACTAATATTTTTCTGTCTGAATATTACATTTAAGAGCATTCCTCTAGGTTACCATTAGGGAAAACAACTTTTAAAAAATAATTTATTTAATGTTCATTGATGTTTTTTCTGCATGTATATCTGTGTGAGGGTGTCAGAAGCCCTGGAATTGGAGTTACAGACAACTGTTAGCTGCCATGTGGATGCCTAGAATTGAACCTAGGACCTGTGGAAGAGCAGCCAGTGCTCTTAACTGCTGAGCCATCTCTCCAGCCCTAAAACAACACATTTTTACATCTGACAAATTATAAACATAATTAGAAATGTTAAAATCATCTCTAAAGTGCCAAAATATTTATTTTCTGTAATTTAATTTCTCTGAGATTTCTAATCATAAGGGATGTCAAGAACTATATTTAGGACTGAGGATGTAGCTTAGTTGGTAGACTGTTTGCCTAACCTGGGCAAAGCCCTGACTTCAGATCCCCAGCATTATTTCAACCTGTAGTGTTGCACACACCTGTAAGGCTCGCACTCAGAAAGTAGAGGCAAAATTATCAGAATTTCAAGGTCATCTTCAGCTGCATAGAAAGTTCAAGGCCAGCCTGGGACTTGTAAGACCCTGAGATAGATAGATAGATAGATAGATAGATAGATAGATAGATAGATAGATAGATACCACAAATATACAAAAGACAGCTTTAAGGCTGGGGATATGTCTGAAGATCAGTAGTAGAGTGCCAGTCTAGCGTGTTTGAGACCCCATAATCCCAGCATTTGGGAAATGAGACCAAAGGATCATTGATTTTAAGTCAGTGTAGGCTACATAACAAATTTCATGCCAGCCTGAGCTACAGAATAAAACCCTGTTTCTTTCTTTCTTCTTCTTTTTTCTTTTCTTTTCTTCTTTTTTTTTTCTTTTTGGGTTTTTCGAGACAGGGTTTCACTGTAGTTTTAGAGCCTGTCGAACTCACAGAGGCCTGCTCCACCACTGCCCAGCAGAACCCTGTTTCAAAAAGAAAAAAGAAGCCATGCCTAATGGCATATGCACTCAGCACTCAGGAGCAGAGGCAGATGTAGCTCTGTGGGTTACAGGTTAGCCTGGTCTACATCGAGGCCAGTTGAGGCTACATAATAAGATCCTGTCCCCACCCCAACCCCCCCACAAAAAAAAAGAAAAGGAAAAGAAAAAAGTTTGTTTTCAGATATGACATCTGTAGATTTTCAACATTTGTGACTAATTAATATCTGTACTTCAGACAAATTATACCATGTACAGATAGAAGCACATTCATTAAAATTGCAGCAGGTCTTGGATGAGAAAACATGAAGGTTTTGTTTCAACATTTTATAAGGTTTTCAGCAAATACTTTTAGCATTACCCCTTCCTTTTTCTCTGGTTGGGATCAAACACAGGGCCTTATGTACACTAAACCAGTGTTCTATTGCCAGAATCTGCAAATGTATTTAAAATATAATTTGTGTGTATATATGTCTGTACAGGTGTACATGTGGGGTGGGACATGCATGTGTATGTGCAAAGGTTTGTGTGTGTGTGTAGATCAGACTCTGACTTTAAGCATCTTCCTATTAAGCTCTCCACTATTTTTTCAGATAGGGTCACTTAGTAACCTAAAACTTATTGATTCCCCTAGGCTGCCTATCTATTGAGTCCCCAGGAATCTTCTCATCTTAGTCCCCACCCTTTGCCAGTGTTGGATTACAGGCATTCTCTTCTTTTTCCCTTGCTTGCCTTCCTTCCTTCCTTTCTGTCTGTCTGTCTTTTTATAGCAAATAGTTTAATGGTAAATTAAGTGTTTCAAGTGCCATAATAAGTTCCTTGAAAAGGACACAATAACCAAATTAAAAGGATAAATGCTTGCTAATCATCAGAAATCTGTAGCCATTTGAGCATGCTGACCAAGTGTAGAGAACAATTTTTATTTTTATTTTATATTTTTTTATTAAAATTTTCCATCTCCTCCCCTCCTCCCATTTCCCTCCCTCCCCCCCACCCTCCCTCACCCTCCATCTCCAGTTCAAAGAGCAGTCAGGGTTCCCTAAGCTATGGGAAGTCCAAGGTCTGCCCCTCTCCGCCCAGGTATAGTAAGGTGAACATCCAAACAGACTAGGCTCCCACAAAGCCAGTCTATGCAGTAGAATCAAAACCCAGTGCCATTGTTCTTGGCTTCTCAGTCAGCCCTCCTTGTCCGACACGTTCAGAGAGTCCAGTTTGATCACATGCTCCATCAGTCCCAGTCCAACTGGCCTTGGTGAGCTCCCAATAGATCAGCCCCACTGTCTCAGTGGGTGGATGCACCCCTCGCGGTCCTGACTTCCTTGCTCATGTTCTCCCTCCTTCTGCTCCTCATTTGGACCTTGGGAGCTCAGTCCAGTGCTCCAATGTGGGTCTCTGTCTCTATCTCCATCCATCGCCAGATGAAGGTTCTGTGGTGATATGCAAGATATTCATCAGTATGGCTATAGGAGAAGGCTAGTTCAGGCTCCCTCTCCTCTGCTGCCCAAGGAACAAGCTGGGGACATCTCCTTGGACACCTGGGAACCCCTCTAGAGTCAAGTCTCTTGCCAACCCTAAAATGTCTCCCTTAATTAAGATATTAACTTCCCTGCTCCCACATCCACCCCTCCAACATCCCAACTATACCATTTCCCCAAGCTCTCCCCATCCTCCCGTTCTCCCTCCCCATCTCCTCTTACCCCCACCCCCATGATCCCAACCCCTGCCCGGCAATCTTGTCCACTTCCAATATCCAGGAGGATAACTATATGTTTTTCTTTGGGTTCATCTTCTTATTTAGCTTCTCTAGGAGCACGAAATATAGGCTCAATGTCCTTCATTTATGAGTAGAATCCACTTATGAGTGAGTACATATCATATTCATCTTTTTGGGTCTGGGTTATCTCACTCAGTAAAGTGTTTTCTATTTCCATCCATTTGCATGCAACATTCAAGATGTCATTGTTTTTTACCGCTGAGTAGAACTCTAAAGTGTATATATGCCACACCTTCTTTATCCATTCTTCTATTGAGGGGCACCTAGGTTGTTTCCAGGGACAACAATTTTTATAACCATAGTGCAGCAAGCCCCTTCCTCTTTTTCTCTCTTTTTGGTTTTTCTTTCTTTCTTTTTTTTTTTTTTTGAAGATTTATTTATTAATTGTGTATACAGCATTTTCCCTACATATATGCTGCAGACCAGAAGAGGGCACCAGATCTCATTACAGATGATTGTGAGCCACCATGTGGTTGCTGGGAATTGAATTCAGGACCTCTGGAAGAGCAGTCAGTGCTCTTAACCTCTGAGCCATCTCTCCAGCCCTCTTTTTGGTTTTTCAAGACAGAATTTCTCTGTGTGTATCTCTGGCTGTCTTGGAACAGCTGTATCCCAGGCCCACCTCAAACTCACAGAAATCCCTCTGCCTCTGCCTCCTAAGTGCTGGGACTAAAGGCTGGGCCACCACTGCCCATCACTTACATTTGTCTTTTTCTCAACAAAACATGAATATGTTCATCTCTGATTTACAGTCGAGTTATTTTAAACTTATCAGTTGTATGACCTTGCAGGTAAACTTGACTGTTAGCAATTTCCATTTTAAACTTTTAGCTGGGGAGAGAGTGCTAG